ACATTTTAAAGAAGAAAAGCAGTAAATTTTACCCACAAGTGGTCTACTTTACACCCACCCGTTCGGCCATCCCTCCCAATATGTTCATTGGAGGCTGAGCACCTTGGCCTCTTCCAAAGCAAGAGTCCTCAAACCTCGGAAACCCAAGTTGAAATATTGATGTTTTGAAGTACAATTTCCCTAATCTTATTTTAGAAGGGGAAGAAAATCCCAGCAATTGCTGGAATATGGAGAATTATACAAATAGAATAATGATAACGTAATTTAAGTTTCCTAAGCTCGAAAGCGTTTTTCAAAGATGTATTCTTTTTCTTGATGTATTCCACAAGGGAACGCGGGAGGGGTGAAGTTGGACAGAGAGAGGAAAAGCGACAGGGCTGAGAGAGTTAAAAATGCCCAACACGTAAAGACGGGATTAAGTGGGTCAATTCATCTTTGTAATGATGTCATTATTTTTATGTTTAAAAAACCATACAGACGCATATGGAAACAAACTGAAATCCGTCCTTCTGACATAAGCGCCGCCACTACGACCGTGGGTTGGGCCAAACCCCTGAAGGGCCCAGGGCAGAGCCCACGCGGGCTCCGTGGTGACACTAAGGGCCGCTCCCTGCGGAGCAGCTGCGTTTTCCCATCGGTACCCGGAAAGTCAGCAGGCGACACTTCGAGGGACAACTGGGATATTTCTGCTTTGTCACCACCAGGCAATGAGAAAAAGATTTTGTCACGATCTGGGGCCACGCCTTTTTCTCTTTTGTTTTTCCCTGCGTTTTTTTTATTGTCGGTTACTTCAGAAGGAAAAGTCATCGTCATCACTATTCCACACGCTGTCCTCCAACGGCAAGTACGGACGCACCCGTTTGTGCGTGAACACCGAGCACGCACCTGCGGAGTGACCGACCGCTGCTGGGAGGTGCTGGGCTAGGTGCTGATCAGCCAAGCCAATGTGCTAATATAATCAGATCCAGGGTGAGTTTCGCACAGTCTCCAATAATAAAAATCTCATCATCTGTTAAGGGACTCATAATCGAATAACTGCATGTCTACTGATGTAATAATCTAATAATCTCATGTCTAATAATATCATGTCCAGAAAGGAAACAAGAAAGGTAAACACGTGATGAGGACACAGATGTGGGTGGCCGAGAGTGAACCCAGGAGCAGTGCCCCAGCACAGGGACCTGGGGTCCAAGGTCACACCAAGGGCCCTGGGCTCAAGAGCCCCCATTCCTGTGACGATGCTCTCTTTACGTCAGCGGGCATGCCGGGCTCTGCTGACCATGACAGTGAAGACTCTGACCTGACTTCCCGCCTCAGGTTCTAGACTCGAGAGCCAGCTGCGAACTCCTGATTTGTATTCCCAGGTCCATTTTTTAAAAGTGGAGCAAAAGCACCGACCACCAGAGCCAGGTGTCCGCAGTCTCTGACCGCCGTGTTTCCCACTGCAGGGTGGTGCCGGCGTTCCGGTTTTGGCCCCTGGGAGCTGGGTTAGTGCGAATCTCACACTGGTCACTACTAGCAGATGGATAAAACTAGTTTTCAGGAAGAGCTGAAAACCAAGGAAATGCCAGCCCTGCTGAGACGGAAAACAACAAGTGACTTGGAAAAAGTCATTCATCTCTTTTCCACACGCATGTGCAGTGTGGGCCACCAGAAAGAGCTGCGGTCCACAAGACAAAACCTCGGTTCTAATGCCACAGCAGCGTTTTTAGCTCTGTGACTTCAGTTGCATGGGTTTCCACACGCTGACCTAAAAATCAGGAGCTATAGTACTTCCCCACGCCCTTGGAAGGTCATGATTAAGATAAAATAAACAATGAGCAAGACAGGGCTTTGAAACCCATAAAGTGCTGCACTGTAAAAGGTCAGCACGGCCTTACTCTCCTGCAAACAGCGCCTGCCAGAGTGTCTATTAGTGAATCAGCACCGTCAGCTCAAAGACGTGAGGAAGAAGGCAGTGTCACCGGGAAGGAAGGCACAACATCCAGACCCTCTGCTGTGCTTCCCGGGCTGCCGGTGTCTTCCTACGGGCCTGGGGAAACACAGGTTGAATCTGTTCGCCACTCTGAGAACTCGCCTTACTTCCAAAAGCCTGTGGGATAAATCCAGTTCAAGTGTGGTTGTTTCTGGCATATGGCCATACAGTGATGAAATGAGGTCGGAAAAGAGTTTCTAATTAGATGGAGATAGACATTTCAGAAAACGCTCCCAGGAATCATTTCAAAGTAAAAAGTGGCATTGTGAACTGCCCCCGCCCCCCGCCCCGCCCCACATCCTACGTTTCATCATTTCATCGTGAACATCCCTAGTGCTGCTGCTGCTGCTGCCACGGAGGAGGATGGGGGCGTGGCTTTGGGCCCTGGACCAAGGGGGCGGCGCCCATGCACTGGCCATCACGATGTCTCACACTGGGCTCACCCGAGCCCTTCGTGGGAACACACCGAGATGGGCTTGGCCCTTTGTGTCTAGGCTTTCTGTCCACGTTGGGAATAAAGAGGCGACAGACTTCTATGGTCGTTTTCTCAGGTGCGCCCTCTGTGCTGGCATACCCGCTCTGACACAGACTTGTACCCACCTGGTCCCCCGTGTCCCCCACTGACGAAGGGGAGAGACCAGGCTGGCTTTCTGTCCTCGAGCTGTCAGAGCTCTACGTGGGACACAGAAGGTGCTCGTTAAAGGGGACTGAGTAAGTGAAGGAAAGAACCGCACTTATGAGATTCACTTTTTGTTCAAGTGCAATGTTCCTTTATATTACACTCACATTTAACCTTTGGGTTCAGTAACAGAGCTAACACATTCTGTGTAAACAGTACCTTCATGCAAGTTAAAGCAGCTAAACACTGAAATTAAGAAATGAAACAGACTGAACCACTGAGGTTATGTGAGAAAGGTGACTACGGTATATGTGCCCATGGATTAACGTGCTTCACCTATGGGTTCATTTGAAACATTTCTTGGGCATCTACTACGGCGTAATTTCCAGGCCCGGGAGGCGGGAGGCGAAGTCAGGCAGGCTCACGCTCTCGGGCAGGTGGGCGCTGGTGAGGGACAGCACCCAGCAGGTGCTGTGGTGGGCGTGAGTCTCAGGGCTGGGACCGCTGTGGGGGGCAGCTGATGACAGCTGGGGTGAGGGGGCATCCAGAGGGCTCCCCAGAGAGGTGATGCCTGAACTGAGGCACAGGTCACCTTAAAACAGAGAAACAGGTGTTGCAGGCAGAGAGGAGGCCTGAGGCCCCCTTGGCCCCCCCAGCAGAGATAAGGCTGTGCGCACAAGGCAGGCGGAAGCGGAGGACAGACAGACAGAGGAAGGACAGGGACCTCGGGTGGCAGGCGGCTCCGTGGGCTTGGCACCTCTCAGGGACCTTCAGTGAGGGAGGAGCTGCATTCGAGTCTTTCCCCGAGGGACCCAGAGCCTACTGTAAAAAGGTATTAAGAAGTACTAATTGGTAGTTACAGAGCAGTTGCAGGGAAGTGAAGCACAGCACAGGGAATAGGAGCAGTGACATGGTGATAACTGCGCCTGGTGCCAGGTGGGCGCTGGAAACGGGGGGGACTCCGGAGCGTACACGGCTGCCTGACCCCTACGCTGTACGCTGGAAGCAAGTACAGAATAGTGATGAATGCAGACTGTCATGGGAAAATAGAATTAAAACAAACAGATTGCAAGTAATAGCTGAAGGGTCAGTTAAGAAAATGTAGATAAGCAAACAGGACGGGGGAAAAAAAAGGAAAGCAGAGACTTAATTCGAGATAGCATAGTATGTATCTGAACTTCGAGATCTGGCTTTAGATAAAATCACAGCTCTTAAAACAGAGGATAAGAGGAAAAGCAGGCGTGACTTTATGAGTTGTACATGTTCTAGAATTCTGAAAGACAAGGGACTTCTTCTTTTAAATAAAAAAGAAGTTTCTCTCTCTCCATAGAGACGGCATCTCCAGTTGTATTTATCTCTGTCGCTGAAGCCCTGTCTTATCTTAGAGTCACTGAGGATGCCTCCAGGAGAGCAACTGCTGGGCAGAGAGCGGAGAGAGTGCTCCTGTCTGTGCCCCGAGCACAGAGCCCCAGGAGGACCCGCCCACCCAGCCCTGGGGCCCGAGCGCAGGCAGGTGGGGCTCTCCTGCAGGGTCCTGAAGGAGCTGGTGGGCACAGGCGGTGAGGCACTAACACCCAGCGCATTATCAAAGCTGCACCTTGGTTTTGCGTTGCTTGTTTTTATGTGAGAGACATCAGTATCCATTTAAAAGAAGGAATGGCTAAGTGCCTGTTTTAGTGCTGTAATAAAGTTACTTCTTTCCCTGTTAGTGACTAATAGAATCGAAGTTATTTTCAGGGAAAAAAAATAGAGCAGTAAAACATGCATCGGAATTCCCCTTAAGAATGACAACATACAGGTGCATCCATGGCAAGTGAGACTTTGTCTCTTCCAAATACCGCAAAGGTGAGGCCGCTGGACGCAGAGGACAGGGTGGAGAGGAGTATGAATGGAAACAGGAAGTCCAGCCGAATGCCAGGACTTCCGATTCGTGTCACAGTTGCTCCCCGGGGCCGGCCAGACCGCGGGCTAATGCGTTTGCTTGTTGCTGAACAGTCCTGTGTCTTCGCGCCCTTTAACTCTGTCTGTGGAAGGGGGGCAAAGGCTGTCGCTGCTGAAAGGCTTTCTTTTCTTCCCATTCACTCACTGATTGTCAAAGAGAATGAGAACTATAACAAATACAAGTGCGAGGTACAAACAAGTAAAATGTGGAAATAACAGAAATATCGTGGAAGCGTGTTCGTGGTGTCTACTGTAACTTCAGCCTTCTGAAGATCCCACTGGTCAGCCTTCCAATGCCTGGGCCAGTCACTGTCGAGGCTAAAGTCGCACAGTGAATTATCCGTCAACTCTAAGGATCTGTGAGCTCACCATGATTATTAGTTAATGGATGTTAATGATGGTACATGTTTCCTTTAGACTAATTCTTTTTCTTCTCTGTTTTATACTTTCTTTCATTACGGTTAGCGTCACGCTGCTCTTCCTGCAAGGACGGCACTGGCACGGGGTTTGAACACGACACTCCTAAATACATGAGTTGCTCCATTTCCTGTGACCATCTGTCCACACCGCGTCGTCAAAGCGCGTCTCAGTCTCCTCCCGTAGAGGCAGCAGTGACCGGCGGTTGTCCAAGATGTGTGACGTTTCCGGACGGGGCAACTGGGGTGCCGGCACTCGGTCCCACGACAGAAGACGCTGCAGGTCTACGGCGGCGGTCACCGTGTGACCAGCGCCGCCACACTCCCTGCCGGTCGGCGCTCGCTGAACTTCCCAGCAGTGACTGCGGAATCCTTCTGGGCCCGTGACGTCGCCGAAGAGGGAAGCTAAGATGAAGGACACGCCACTCCGAATGCACGTGCTACTCGGCCTAGCGATCACGACACTGGTGCAAGCCGTAGACAGGAAAGCGGATTGCCCGCAGCTATGTACGTGTGAGGTCAGGCCCTGGTTTACGCCCCGGTCCATCTACATGGACGCCTCCACGGTGGACTGTAACGATTTAGGTCTTTTCAGTGTCCCAGCCAGGCTGCCTGCCGACACACAGATCCTGCTCCTGCAGACTAACAACATTGCCAAAATCGAACACACCGTAGACTTTCCCGTGAACCTTACCGGCCTGGACTTATCGCAAAACAATTTATCTTCGGTCGCCAATCTTAACGTCAGAAAGATGCCGCGGCTGCTCTCTGTGTACCTGGAGGAAAACCAACTCACGGAGCTGCCCGACAGATGCCTGTCCGGGCTGAGCCACTTACAGGAACTCTACATGAATCACAACCTGCTCTCCGCCATCTCGCCAGGGGCCTTCATCGGCCTGCGTAATCTTCTGCGGCTTCATCTCAACTCAAATCGACTGCAGATGATCGACAGCCAGTGGTTTGACGCTCTTCCCAATCTGGAGATCCTGATGATCGGGGAGAACCCGATCATCAGAATCAAGGACATGAACTTTAAGCCACTTGTCAATCTCCGCAGCCTGGTGATAGCTGGTATAAACCTCACGGAAATGCCGGACGATGCCTTGGTGGGGCTTGACAACTTAGAGAGCATCTCTTTTTACGACAACAGGCTTAGGAAAGTGCCCCGCGTCGCTCTTCAGAAAGTCGCAAACCTCAAGTTTTTGGATCTCAATAAGAACCCCATTCATCGGATCCGGAGAGGCGACTTGAGCAACATGCTGCACCTGAAGGAGGTGGGCATCAACAACATGCCCGAGCTGGTTTCCATCGACAGCCTGGCCGTGGACAACTTGCCGGATTTAAGGAAAATTGAAGCGACCAACAACCCCAGGTTGTCTTACATCCACCCCAACGCCTTCTTCAGGCTGCCCAAGCTGGAGTCCCTCATGCTGAACAGCAACGCCCTCAGCGCCCTGTACCACGGCACGGTGGAGGCCCTGCCCAGCCTCAAGGAGATCAGCATACACAGCAATCCCATCAGGTGCGACTGTGTCATCCGCTGGATCAACATGAACAAAACCAACATCCGGTTCATGGAGCCGGAGTCGCTGTTCTGCGTGGACCCTCCCGAGTTCCAAGGCCAAAACGTCCGGCAGGTGCACTTCCGGGAAATGATGGAAATCTGCCTCCCTCTTATAGGGCCCGAGAGCTTCCCTTCCAACCTGGACTTGGAAGCCGGGAGCTACATCTCCTTACACTGCAGAGCTACCGCGGAGCCGCAGCCTGAAATCTACTGGGTGACACCGGCTGGCCAGAAACTCTTGCCTAACACGCTGATGGACAAGTTCTACGTCCATTCTGAAGGCACCCTAGATATCAGCGGTATAACCCTGGCAGAAGGGGGGTTGTACACTTGCATAGCAACTAATCTGGTTGGTGCTGACTTAAAGTCTGTCATGATCAAAGTGGATGGCTCTTTTCCCCAGGATAACAATGGATCCTTGAACATTAACATCCAAGATGTTCAGGCCAATTCAGTTCTGGTGTCTTGGAAGGCAAGCTCTAAGATTCTCAAATCCAGCGTGAAGTGGACAGCCTTTGTCCAGACCGACAATTCTCATGCCGCCCAAAGTGCTCGGATACCTTCTGATGTCAAGGTTTATAATCTCACCCATCTGAACCCATCGACTGAGTATAACATTTGTATCGATGTCCCCACCGTCTATCAGAAACACAGAAAACAATGCGTTAATGTCACCACAAAGGGGTTGGACCCTGATCAAAAAGAGTATGAAAAAAATGACATCGTAACATTGATTGTCTGCCTCGCGGGCTTTCTGGGGATTATCGGCATGACAGGCCTTTGCAGCTGGCTCTCTCATAAAATGAACTGTGATGTTGGACAAAACTACGCGAGGAGTTACTTACAGAAACCAACCATCACGTTCAGTGAGCTTTACCCTCCTCTCATTGACCTCTGGGAAGCAGGCAAAGAAAGAAGTACAGCATTGGAAGTGAAAGCAACTGTTATAGGTGTGCCAGCAGATGTATCTTAAAAACACCTGACTAAATCTACTTCAAAGAGAAGCTCAAGAGTGTAGTTGTGCTTGGGGGGGAAAAAAAGCATAGAAATACTACTTTCTAGAAGAAAGTTTAAGCTTCACCGATGCTGCTCCTGACCGATGGAAACTGTACAAGTTCAGCATTTTAATTCACCGGCTTCAAAGGGTACTGTGGCAACCAAATAAGATAATTCCACTTTCTTGAACTCTCATGTAACTTTTATGTCTGGACTGCAGTTACAGTGGACAACAACATTTCCGTATTTTTTTTAAGTATGTAAGAGTAGTGGAACTGAGCAATACCTCCTGCTGTGTTGTATTACACATATTAGCCACGAGTTTTCGCAGTGACCAGATAAACTTGAATTGACACGTGGTGTAATAAAATGGACAGATTCTGTAGACTAGACACAGTGAGTATGTGGACCTCTTTTATAAGAAAAAATACATTTTGGATTAAAATCAATTGCTTTTGTCTTGTTTTTTTTTGTTTGTTTTTAAATAAAGAATAATTTCTGGGAAATGTCATCTGACCAGGTATCATTTAAATGACGTTTTTTAAAAAAGTGTTTTTCTATAATGACATTTGAAATGCTAGGAGTAACACTCTTTTACTGGGTTCTGTAACTACCTTTTTATAATGCACAAAAAATGGACTGAGAGGCACTTTATCAATATTGAAAGGCAATCATCACATTTATTTAACCCTTTCACTAATGATGAAAAGAAACCCCCCCAGCAAATTATGTATTCATTTAAAGGTTTTCTTTTCTTAACAAGAAGCTTTTGTGGTGGATTTAATCATTAAGTTCACATAATGTAGATCAATATCTGAGGAACTGAAAGCCTTATTTTGATAATTAGTAGTAACTCAAATTTAAGATGCTTGCTTTGCAGAAAATACTGCCAAATTTTGGCAGGACTTAAGATCTGGGTGTAACCTTCAAATCTTTCCATGATTCTAAACACTCAATGCACTTTACTTCAATAATAAGCAAATAACCCGATCATGTTCTGTGTTGCAAACATAGCAATGAGGCATGTTCTACAAAACCCCAAAAGAAGGACATTTATATACTTATATTGCAACTAACCTTAGAAGTGCTGACTTGATGTCTGGTCAAAGAAGACGATCCTTTTACCCCAGAATAAAATGATTTTTTAAATTTTAGAAGACTGGGATTTTTCAAGACTAAAATCTGAGAGTTTTCCTTTAAAACCTATTGAGAATTCATAGTAGAAGTTTATAGGTTCCATCTTATGAAATTCTCCCTTTTATTTACTTCACCCCAATATAAAAATGGCCTGAGCCAGATAATTCCAGAGTTCAACAGAAATTTAAGAGGGCAACCTTCTTAATGAAAGGAAAATCCCAGAAAATTTCAAAGTAAAAAAAAAATTAAGTGCAGTTGTCTATGACTCCATTCAAGGCACCTAAAAACACAGCTTTAAAAAATTAAGAGTCATTGAATTTAACTGCCAAGAGCGTAACTGATTATTTAAGAGTCTTGTATAGTAAATATGTAACTTTTACTTGAGAAAAAAACCCAGCCAATATCTTTTAGGGTTTTAGTTGTATTTACAAACAAAAATCCAGAGCCATGCAAAATAAATGTACTTGTGTACAAAGGAGATACCCTGAAACAATGAAAAACCATCTGAGACAATAAGCCACACTTTTTATAGGCAAATCACTTATCTCTGCAAAGCTACAAGGTTTCCATGTTAATTGCTCGGTGCCTGTTCCTAATCAAGTGTTCAACTTTTCTTACAGTAGCTTGCTGTATAGTGTCAACATGCCATTGTCCTGTAAACATTTCCAGTACTGTAGTCATATCAACTTATCTGTTAATACTAGACATTTGCTTTTGTGATAGCCTTGACGGTTTCTAATTAAATCCTAGCTGTTTTTCACAGTGTGGAAGGTAATTGTTATGAACTCTTTGAAATGAAAGAACAAACTGTGTTAATTTAACAAAAACCAAACTTGAGACTTGATCATCCAGTGTGTTTCCCAAACACAGGTTTTACAACCTGATGAATCACTATCACACAGTGGCTGACATTAGAATTTATCAGCAAGACATGCTCGTACATCATGAGAGGTTTCAGCACCACGGACAGAGCTTTTGTAAAGGGCCAGGCTATTTGTCAAAATAGAGGAGCTGAAGTGTGACCTATTAGGGTGCAGGTATTGTAGAGATCAGCAAGAACTTTCTCAGGTATCTGGTATGTTTCTTTCAAGCCTATCTGCATAAAGAACCATAACAAACATATCCTAAAGCTGAGAATCCATTTCAAGCTACATTTTCTTAGGGAAATTGTAGCAAATAAGCACTCTGAAATAGACATCCAATACTGAGCATTGAAAGGAAGTATTTTTGTTACAGCCAAATAAATACAGAAGCTCAAAGCAAAACACATTTGCTTGATTAAATTTTAATCTAAATTGACAGTAAGAGAGAAAAACACATTTGCTTCAACAAAACAAGAATGACATTTCATGCTTCCTATGTTTCCCTCTAATTCTCACATAAAATCATCTGAGTTCCGGCCACAGGGCTCAAGGCATGTAACTCACAACTCAGCGACACCACACGGGTGCAACGGCGAACTTCAGCTATGAGAGGACTGTGAGGTTCATACCTTTAGGAATTCCAAATGATCCCCTCATCTGGTATGCGAGAAAACATTTTTTTCCATAAAAACAAATTTTAAAAAATATATATGTTGTGTAATTTAGGCTACAAAACAAAATTCAATTTTTTAAAATGAGCATATCCAGTTGAATACAAGAATGCATAAAAGCACTGTGGAGAGAAATGTGTTATTGCCAGCAAAGCCAAGCTGCCAATCACATGCAGATCATTTTTACAGAAAAAAACATGAAATATATTTATGGTGCATACATTGGCCTTTTGATACTGATTTCAGTTCTTCATTTTTTACTTTAATTAAATAAAGTGTTAAGTGAAACTACGTATCAGCAAGCCTAAGCTTAAAATTATAATTTCTTCATCTATTCATTGAACTATATTTTATTTACATTCCCAAAATACCCATGCATGACTATCAGTCACTGGAGACACAGAAGTGAACAGGACAAATTCATCATCATTCTGGGGCTCATATTCTACTGGATTGCGCTCTGGTTGTATACTGCTGTTTTCACAAACATGTCTTAACTACGTTACTTACTGGAGCCCCAGCTGCAAACCATACTTTCGAAGAAAGCATACTTTCATACTCAGAAAATCATAGTTTTTTACTTGGTCTAAAATGTTTTATTTATCACAACGTGCCAATATAGAAACTTAATCCAAATTTGTTACGGAAATTTATTATTTATTACTCATTATAGATAGGAATTAGCCTAATACCACCCCTAGACTGCTTAAATCAAGAAGCTTGTCTACTAACCATAAACTATTTCTAGGCAGAGAAATATGGATAAATATGTCTCCTCCACTTTAAAAACAGAGAGATTGACCACACAAGAAACATAACAATTCAAGAAGGCAATCTAGCATTGACAAAATGTTTATTTTACAAAGGGAGCAATCAATTCTTATAAGATCTTTCAACAACTATGAAGGAAAACCTTCAAATTCCACAGATTAGCTTTTGACATGAAAAATCAGAAGTGATATGTCAGTAATCAATAAAGCAAACAATAAAATCAACTAAAAGTTTAAAAGTACATATTTGCTAAAAAGGAAAATTTCTGATAAAATATTCCCACAACTACCAAAAACAGAAGAAAACTTTCTCACTGTATGAGGAGGGTCCCACAAAAAAAACCAAAATTATCCTCTGGAGGGCGGGCCCCTTGCAGTACAGACCTCCCCCACTAGGCCAGTGCTCTAGGAACCCGTCTGTATCAGTGCACCAGCTGGCGTTGTTGTGAGAGGTTGTGTTTGGCTTCAGTGCATTTTTTTTCAAGCCTCTTTCAATGCGTTTGCCCATTGCATGATAGGTGATTGATTACAAGCGCACCTGTCCACTCCACCACGCTGAGTGTTCAGCAGTTTTTGACCAAAAATGGCACGACCCCTGTGCCCTGCCCTCTCTATTCACCTGATCTCTCTCCCTGAGAGACTTTTTTGTTTCCTCGGATGAAAAAAGTCCTCAAAGGGAAACGTTTTGCTGATGTGGAAGAGGTGAAACAAGCAAACCAAAAAAGGGCAGAAGCACTAAGAGGCATCACAATTGATGAGTTCCAAAACTGTTCTGAGCCCTGGCTGGCGTAGCCCAGTGGATTGAGCTCGGGCTGCGAACCAAAGCATCGCAGGTTCGATTCCCAGTCAGGGCACATGCCTGGGTTGCAGGCCACGGCCCCCAGCAACCGCACATTGATGTTTCTCTCTCTCTCTCTTTCTCCCTCCCTTCCCTCTCTAAAAGTAAATAAATAAAATCTTTTAAAAAACTGTTGGGAGCAGTGGAAAAAAGCACCTCAATAGGTGTATTGCATCCAATGAAGAGTACTTTGAAGGTGACTGAAGTTTAAACGTGAGAATAAATACACAGTTTTATAAATAAATTCCGGGAGGGTTTTTCTGGTCCCCCCTCAGATATGCTCCCATTAAATGGTGACTTGGGCTTCATTGCACCTGGGAATGAGGGACGATGAATAGTGACTCTATAGGGACCCCTTTTCTTGGATGCAACCTCCCTCATTCTCTTTTTCTGTAACTTCCCAAAACAAATTATAACAGATAAGTAAGACGTGGTTTTGTTTGTTTGTTTGTTTGTTTCTGAAGAAAATGGTTGTGGTAGTTATGTTTCCTATATCAAACATCCCACACGGTCATTTGGGGACAAAGCTAAAGAGAAAGCCTGCAGCCACCTTCACACTCAGTCCCACGGCCCCCACTGCCGTCACATCCTGTCACCCCGGCTAATGCACGGCTCATCGGGTTGCCCCCCGGGGGGGCGTGGTCATACTGTCCTGGAGCAGAAAAGCCACAGCTGCAATCTAAATGCTACACCCAGGATCACCGCGTTCTGGGGAAAGAAAGAAATGGACTCGTTTCAGTACACCCGTGGCTGCTTTTGTGTGTTTGTTTGAAAAGCGAGGACTCTATGGTAACAGCTGACCACCCACTTAGTTTATTTTATTTATACTTCTGAAGCAAGGGGAACATAAAAACACTATCTGTAGACAGGAATGCAATGGCAAAATCAGAGTTCATTCTAGTACTCGCAATCCATGTAATCAATGCTTAGAATAAGATAATAAAAGATGTTAAAAAAGACTCTTCTAGTAAAAGATAGGTCATTTTCTAAATCTGGCCTGGACTAAACATTTCATTAATGACATAACAAAGGTGCTCCTGAATCCACAAGCGAGCATTCAGCACTCTCAGGGGAGAAGAGAAAGCATACGGAACACCCCACAATTCCTTTTCACCCCCGCTGAGGACAGACGAGCCCGCAGACTGGAATCGACCTGTTCCAGTTCA